CCCCGCCACCGGGCCAATCCCCGACCCCGCACCCCGCCACCGGGCCAATCCCCGCACCTCGACCCCGCCGCCGACCCCCGCCCCGCAACCCCGACCCCCGGCGGGACCCCGCAGGCGCACCCCGCCGGGCACCCCCCGCAGCGGCAAACCCCGATCCCCGCAACCGCCAAACCCCGCAACCCCGCTTCCCCGCAGGGTACCCCCGCCACCGCACCACCGGCTCCGCAACCCCGATACAGATGCCCGCCAGCACATCCCCGCCCCCGTGCTGCGGCAACTCCACTCCCGCCAAGGGAGGTAAGCGTCCCCAGGGGGAACCCCGTGTCGGGGCATTTTTTGCAGGACACAAAAAATGTCAAGGGCTGTACGCCGGTGGTGCGCACCCCCCTCTGTTTTTTGTTTTTTTTTTTTGTTTTTTTTTTTTTTTTTTCCCATACTGGTGTCGGGGTCCCGGGTGCCGACCCCTGGAACCCCGGCGGGGTCCTGGGGCCGGGGGTCGACAACCCTGACTTTAACGGCAGCCACGGACTACAACGTCCAATTATATAAAAATTAATAAGCAAAACCAATCAAATAAAATAAACAAGCACCCCAACACTCGTATATCAATTCAGAACTCGAGATAACAATAAAAGAGCGGGGAAACATAAACCCCTCAGGTTTGCAGATCGCACGACACATGGTGGTCATTCTCACTGCCTCCAAAGTATGGCTCATATACCAAGCTTCAAAATACTAACATGCATAAAATACAGACACACACAAATAGTCACATTGCCATACACCAATGTGGTCAACTTTACTGTTCCCTGTTACTCATACCACGCCTCACACACTCAAGCCCCTGTCATAATACAATTCTTTGTAAATCTCATAAGTTCTCTATAATGGCCATTAAAAGAAGTCATGTTAAAACCTTCAAAAAAACATATCAAGTCTCAGGGCTAAAACAATCAAGCTGAGGTACAAGTATAAGCAAAGTTGTATCATGAACCGACAAGTCGGTGGTCAACCAATTGACCTGTTATCCGTGATAACAAAAAATGATCCGCGTAGGATCAAGCTGAAACTAGTCCAAGTCCTGAATCGACTATCCAAGAAAGGTCTGTACAATAAAACAGGCCAATACCCAAGCTAAATCATCAGCATATGGGGGATGAACCTCCATATCACATTCCCACTCAAGCTATCTGTCAACCAGGCTTAAGCATACCCCTAAGCCAGTGCCCAAAGCAAAGGTAGGCTAATGGCAGAATCTCCTCTATCCAGGGTAGATGGCCAGAATCGCCACCTGTCAAAATATAATACAACTCCTCTAAATCAAGAAAATTTTGGCAGCGCTTCCCGTAGGAATAGTGTCTTTTCAGAATTTATATCAGCCCGAATATAACAGCAGAAATAGTCTTTGACTTTCCAAAGTCCAATTTTGTCTAACTCCCTGAATTAGCAAAAATTTTGGCAGCACTCCCTTTAGAAAAAGAGACTTTCCAGACTTTTACTAAGCTATGTATAAACTTTAGACAAGTCAAACTTTGAAAAGTCAAAATTTGACTAACTTCTCGGATTTGTAGAAATTTCGGCAGCGCTTCCCGTGGAGAAAGTGGCTTACCAAAATTTATACAAGGCCAAGTATAACAAAAGATCCCAGCAAATGCAAAAATTGATGTAAGTAAAAAAACTTAGCTCAGAAAATGCGAGAATTTTAACTAACTCCTATGACTTTAGCACGTGGCGAGCGACTAAAGCAACTACCTATCAACCTGAAACTCAGACCAAGTAGTAGCCTTACTCAGTCACATGCAGACCAAACCACAAAGGTAAGTACTCTCACCATCCCAA